AGTTCTTCACAACCTACTCACACATTTAAAGAAAGCCCTTGTGGAATCCAGGCACTTGTCCTTTTTCCTAAAGGTCAAAAAAGTATTCTTAGTGTTAACACTAGGGTTAAAAGCTTGGATCAATGCACTGCCTTTCTTGGGGAAGTTCACCAGAATTTACAGTAGGTTTTCATCTCTACAAAACCGAGTTTTTTTAAAAACATATATTTTTGGATCCGTTTTCCCACTACCAAAAAGAATAGAACCACAAACTAGGGGAATATGATGGTGTGAACTGAAGCCACATAGAACTTTTTCATATAAATGTAGTTATTCCATTGGAATTTCTTTCCTCTTGCAAAAGGCGGTCTAGGATTTTTGCAAACCTGAATTGCTAGTACCTGTGCTCAAATGTAACGCAGAAGGACATGGACATCTTGTAGTCTGATATTATCATTACCTGGGCATCAATCCATTAACTAGGAAGGAAAGTGCTGCTTTCTGCCACCCTTTTGCAGGACCAAAATTCTTCTTGATGTACTTCATCCACATACCTAGCAGCCTAATTTTGACTGGCTTAGAAAATTTGAGAAGAGAACGCTCTGAAGTGATACTGCTGAAAGCCACTTGCTATGTCATTGATTTATCATTAGTAACAATCTCTTTATACCTTAACAAATAGAACAACTCTTTCCTTATTAGTACTATTGTTGAGCTGTATACACTTGTTATCTGTCTTTTTTTTCAAGGAATCACCTTGTAGCTGTTCTGGAGCACTGCCTTCCAGTAAAACCAAGCTGTTGCAGGGTTTCTGTCTCATTCTTCCTCACTCTCTCTAGTCTGAGTTATCACTTGGCTTTTTAATTATGTCATCACTCATTCTTTCTTTCTGGGGAGCAGTGGTGCAACTTGCAAGCTGGACTTCTGCAGTTCCAGTTCATTCTTCTGTTCTTTCATGTCCCACCCAGTATCCTCTTTAGATCCTTGATAACTACCTCCATATGGACTTGGCAAAAGACCTGAGACACGGCCAGAGTTGGTTGTATTCTCCACAGTAGTAACCAATCTCTGCATTTTCATTTTGTGAGATCTTCCTCTCCTCACTCCTTGTGCTCAGTGACTTTGCTGTTTAACATGTGATCTCTGTAACAGAACTCTTCCTTCTCCTTAGTCTTCTAAGCTTTTCAGGGGAGATAGGACTTTCTCATGGTTGTTTTTTGTTTGTTTGTTTTTGCTTTCTTCCTAATTCTCTGCGGTCATACAGTTTGATGTGTAGAAAAATGCATGTTCATGACTTTTTACCTTGTCTTGCATTGCTTTGGCTAAAAATATCTTCACTATAATTGAGTGTTGTGTGTTCATCTGCAATGTTTGAAGGTGCGTAAACACATCACCTCTCAAATCATTTTGTTAATCTTCCTTTCTGCACGTCTACTGGAGATATAAGGAAATTCCTCCATGGAATATTTAAGTCAGATATTATAAAAAAGCTTATTGGACAGTTTTAAGAGTAGGTCAGACAGTAATTGTGAGTAATGGTTTAAGTATAGTTGATCCTGCTTTGTGGTAGGGAATTGTAGTAGATATCAAGGTTTCTTCTAGCTCACAACTCTGCCCCGCTTTTCCCTACCCTCCCGTAATGAACATTGCAAATCTTACGATGAAAGAATTCCTTTTTTCACTTCTGACTTTAGGAGATTTGAGAAGCGCCTGAGGGTTACAATATGTTTCTGTTCTTATATTCTTTCCAGTTATGATTTTTCTCAGTTAGAATTCGGTTTTGCGCTTTAAATAAAATAATTCAGTATTCAGAAAGTCAGAACATAAGGGTAATCTCTGTTGTCACAGGCAGATTTTCAGATAGCATAATGGATACTTTGCTATCTCTAACAGAAATCCTTTCTGTGAAAAAATCACTGTATATGTACAGCATGTCATCATATTTATGCAGACTACATAAAATATAGTTGTCCCAATGTAATTAGAATATTTCCATGCTTTGCGATAACTGTAGTTGTCATTTTTTTGTTAATCATAGGATACAAGTAATGAAATATTGGTACCTTTCTTCAGTGGCATTTGCACATATCTATAATCTTGTATTAGTTTAAAGGCTGAGTACTGCAGCGTCTAACTTCTCGTTCCTTAGTTATCTAGAAATGAATGAATTCACTGAGCAGATTACTTATTTCTGAGGTTTTTTTATTATTCAAATTTTGTCCTCTATTTGAACTTTGGTTATTCAAATTTTTCCCTTAAAATTTATCGTGGCAGCTTTTTAAAGCCCTTTAACAACTCTACACAACAACTTCTGGTAGGGGGAGGAGGAGAGGGAAGAGGGTGGCACTGTAGGAATGTTTGGAGAAAAGTGGACTCTAGTTTGCTTTGGTATAAAATCGTAATCATGTTAGGAGAGTTTAATGAACATGCTTGTTCTATAATACTGGATTGGGAAAATAGAAGAACAAAGAAAAAGGAGAATGGGAGACAAGGTGCTCAAACTTTATAGATTGATTTACAATGAAAAGAATGTGGAAAAAATGGGAGATTTTATTTTTCAGCATCTGCAACTGCATTGGTTAAGATTTCTGAGTAACTGAGTAACTGAAATCCAGTTTGGCTAAAATTTTGGTCTTTGCACATTTGTTACTTGTGTGAGTCAGAAATACTAAAAAAGAGTTAATTGAATACATATGTAACTATAAACTGCCATAATAACATGGACTTCATGCATTCAGTCAAGGATCTATTTTGATATATATTGCCTGTTTGTTTGCAAAACTATTTGATATTATGTTTATTATCAATAAAGAAGTAAGAAAATATAGAAGAGTGGTAGTTATACCTTTTTTTCCCCTCTCTTATAGGGCTCATTACTAACAATTTTACCATTCTGGCAAAATAAGAGATACAAGCTTGGCATTTTATAAATAACAAAGTTAAGGAGAAAGCATAAATTTCTGTCTCAACACCTAATAACCTCCTTCACTTCAGGGAAGGAAATATGAAGGCATGCTCCCTTGGCCAAAATGATTCACCATCTTCTATTATATCATAATTTTCTCCCTGCACAGTAAATACACATGGAAAGTGTTGATTTGACTTGGACAAATCTACAAGGCAAAATTTCTGGCAGTAGAAGAAAGTATTGTATGTTTCTAAATTACCTAATCAAGTAGATATTTCATTTTTTAAACACTTGTCAGTTTTTTGTTTTGCCCTCCCCCCCCTTTTTTTTTTTTTAATAGGGACACTGATCTTTCAAGATTAGAGACCCTGTGAGTTTTACAAGGAAAACAAATATTTGATCTGTTGTGGTTTGGCATAAGAAGATAACATTGTTCATTAAATATATTTACTTTATTCTAGTATATTTTGTCTAGACTTGTGATTTATTATTTAAGAGTTTTTTGAAATCTCTTAAATATAAAGCTGCAAGCACCCTGGTGAGATATAAACTGAAGAAGTCTGGAGGAAGTCAGCAAAAATGCTCTAGAATAAACAATAATACTCCACTCAGCTGACTCTAAAGACTAAGAAGAACGTTATACTTAAAAATTTGGCCTTTTCTAGGTTTTTCATCTCTGAGAGGGAGGACAGATTTATATATTTCTGCATGAACATGTATATAAATTCTATACAGACTTGCAACTGGGGTTGCTATTCACAACTGCGATGTCCTTGTCCTACAACTGAGCTACTGATTTTGTAGGAAGAGGAGTGCCACTGAGGAGTGGCTGAGATGTGAAATAGCCTCAGTTGTGTTCTCATTGCATCTTATAAACTGATTGCTCATTAACACTCCTTTGGAATGCGTGCAGAGCAAACTTGCTTATCACCAGACCTAGTGTTGGTGATTCAGCATACTCCTCCCTGTTAATCAGTATTTACCCGATATTGTTGGCTGATTTATTTTATTTAACTGCCTGATATGTACAGTAGGTGCTTTTAAAGGAAAAGGTTAACCAAAACGTGATTTATTTGTTGAAAGCTTGCCAAGGCTTTCTGTGGTCTAATGTACCTTTGCCACAGATCCATTTCTTTACCTTAGCTTCATTTTTAATTTCTTATGTTTCCGTTACTCAGTCTTGTCCTTCCAGGAAAAAAAAAATCTAAATTCATATATTAGACAAGCAAAATGTTTTAGTGCATGGTCTAATTATCCTTTTCGTGGTAACGTGGTTGATTTAAGTTGCTTGCTACTTCACCTTAGTTTGTTTATATCAGCCAGACAAATACTAATCTTCCTGCTTTGTGTTGTCTCACTGTTGTTTGTGGTGTAGTACAAAGGCTACAATATTGAGTTAGGAATATAGTTAGCAGGTATATCTAGATTTTCATGTCTAGATATCTAAACTTGTCAAATCATTTGGACATTATCCACTCAAACAGAGGGTTTGCCTAATTTATCAATGTTTAAAATACTATCTTTAATAACATAAACATTTAATTTTGTGCAGTATAGTAAGTTACTGTCATGAAAGTTGTATTTATTATGAAATTTATTATTATAATTTATGCTTAACATAATACATTGGTACTCCCTTTGTTATCTTACGGCAAATGTTAAATAAACTGATACCTGTCAGTCACCCCTATTGTCCTAGCAGACTGTTCATAAGTACTTGGCTGTAATATGATACTAAATGTGAGCTGTAATAATAGGATAACTAGGTAATCAAAACAAACATATTAATCATAGAGAGGAAATACATAATTAGAATTTAACCACATGCATCTTCTGACTTCTAAAAATAACGGTTTTTGTTCTATGCATGATACCGAGGAAGACATCAGCACCCACTGCTTTCATTGACTTATCCTGAAGTATTAAGTGACTGCAGATTTGATTCTGAGTGTTCTGTTAGTCTGTTTCTTCTTCAAGTGATAAAAGACAAATACCAAGTTTCATTTGGTCACTTCCCTTGTTAAAACTGTGATTTTATTGGAGCACTGAAAGTTAGTGTATTTGCAGTCAAATGACAATAAATAGTCTAATACTTTACCTTTTTTTGCTTTAGGGTCTGGGATTTGGAAGGAAATGAGAAGGCCCATTTTGTTTTGCGTTCTCCTGGAATGAGTGTTTGCTGGCATCCTGAGGAGGCTTTTAAAGTTGAGCTTTGCAGCCTTTTCTTCCTTTAAAACAACATGAGGATGTGCTTCTCTAAATTGACTCATTGATGCGATAGTAAGATTGAAGTTTGAGGAGCCAGTGTACCTTTTAACTGCATATTGGTTGGATCTGCTAATGTGAAGTCACTACAAATGAATACCCATTTACTTCCATTCTCCTCCTCTTACCATCAGTTCCTTGCTCCTCCCCTCAAAAATATTCCTTCTTGATTACATGCATCAGTTGTTGATAACGGATCTGCTGATAATGTATTAACTTACAGTTACCAGAGAAGAGTTCAAGTTTTTCTCAGTCTTGGTGATAAGCTCCCCTAAAGCAAGCCAAGTTTTGAAAATTATCTGGTTTGAAGTTAGCAAGGGATTTTGTTTTGTTCTTGCTTGAAATATATGAAATATGTGCTGAAAGGTGAAAAGAAACCAATAGACTGATTTTATATTTATACGTCTGTTGTCCTGGGAAGAATTAATTGGCTGATACATACCAAAGTATTTAGCTTTGTTAATGGTCTAGCCCTTGCAATGTTGAATTTATTCTTTCTGTTGTACTAGTCAATAACTGCCTTAAGCAGCTACAAATAACAGCTCAGATTACCACAACAACACACACTTATAACATAGAAAAGTAGAAAAATAAAGTATCAAAATATTTTGGTAGCAATAGGGAAGAAGGATCAGTATTTTTATCACGCTTCCCACCAATATCCAGCCTTCACTAAGAAAACTGTTGAATCAGGTGGCATCAAATTGAACGTGTTCACTGCTGGGCAATTTAGTTAACTAAAATTACTAGATTAGGCCTAAACTTCCCTGCAAAATTTTGAAATATTACACAGATCTACACATATTAGCTTGTCTTTTCCTTGACCCTTATCAAACAAGAGGCACAGTTTTCTTGCGAAGGAAGAGCCCTTCAGAAAGCTAGTACAACTTTACAGGCTGCTGCTTGCTTTAAAGGTTATTGCAGGTCAAAATGCTTACTGCACCACATCTATTAGATTGAAAAACAAAATGTTTCTGTGACAGCTTTCTTTTCCAAAACAAACTTGCATGTTATTTGGGAGGGTGTTTGTTTTGATGCTTCTTTGCCTTCCTTAAGTATTCTTAATGGCCTTCTGAGAGCATCATTAAGAAAAGCTCTTTCATCATTTAATCAGGAAGCTCTTTCTACAGTACTTAACAAACTACTTGAATATATTATATGGATGAACCAAAAGATGCTATGCAAAATCACTAAACATGAATCCAGATTTTTACAGTTAAACTGATCAGTATTGTTGTTTTCTTGTACAGCGCTATCTCAGTCTTTGTACTCAGAACAGGAACTTTTTTGTTTTTAAAGTCATAACTTTTGTTTTAAAAGCACAGGGCATCTATGGTTGAGAACTGGGGTTTCTGGGTGCCAAAATTATATACAAAGATATACTGAAGATGTATATAGTTGCATAAAACCATGTAATCATGTATATATTATATAACAAGTATAGGTTAAAGTGTGTTTTATATATATGTATAAATATGTACACCCATATATAGATCTGTATATTTGGTTGAAGAGTGTTTAGGAGAATGTCTTCTGGTACAATGTAAAAAATTGTACTTATTTTAAATCCAAATACTAATACTTGCTTGACGATATACTAGGTTTGCTATTAGAGTAGAAAAGATATTAAGATTCAGTTTACAAAGTCTTCTGAGAATGCATTTTTTAATTTCTCTTACAGTTGATGGTAGCAGAGAAGAATGGAACGATACGATTCTATGACCTGATTACCCAGCAGGCCATTCTGTCTCTGGAGTGTGAACAAACGCCACTGATGTCAGCCGACTGGTGTTTAAAGAATCCTCTTAAAATTGGAGCTGTTGCTGGAAGTGATTGGCTAATCTGGGACATCGCTCGCTCCAGGTATCAGCATAACCAGGGGAGAGATTTCTTTATTCTCTCCTTAAGTAGCACATGAGGTGATGTGGCCACTTTGCTAATTGCTTAAGTGATGGTGTGCTATGTATTGCATCACCTACTCAGTAAATAAATGAAAACTCATCAGGATTTATGAAATCAATATAGATCATTCACTGACATTCCTCATGTTTCATGTTTATTTCTACTAGTACACGTCTGTTTAAAAAAATAAATAGGAGCATGGTGGTTCTTTTTGTCCATTTGAGACAGCATCTCTACTGTTTACGTCTCATTGTAAGTTTTGTGCATTTGTCTAATTTCATTTTAACTTCTAAATCATATATACATAATTACTGAACCATAATAGCTGAAAAACTACTTCAGTTTTCCTACTCCTAATTGAGGCGTTAGCCACAGTAACACTCAGGTTTTCCCTCAGCATCTTCATGAGCAATTTGCCCCCTTCACTGTTTAAATGATGTGCCTTTGGTACTTACAGTATAAACTATGGTTGTGTGCAGAACAGTTTTTTACCCGAAACATCTGTTTTAGTTATCCACAGGATAAGAGACCTGTCCATGTGGATCGAGCCCGATTATTCAGGTATAAGTGTTGTCTGTGTTTTGTATTTTCTCTCTATATAAATATACCTATATGTGTGCAGTTGTGAGTTTAGGGACCCAGTTCTGTCTCACTTGAACCATTTTTAGGGGGACCCAGTCTATAAGCTTAGTGACACTTGTGGATGACCAACATTTAGTGTGTATGAATAAAATTTGCATGCATTTACTCTGTTTCAACAGTGTGCGTAAGGGGCTGAGTGTGGTGCATTGTTTAAAACGAGCCATTTCTCTAAATTGAATTATTTGGTGTCAGTGGTGGCTTCACACAGTTAACCTCAAGGGAGAGAACTCAGGTTTGTGTGTGCTCCTGGTAGTCTAATGGTGATATTTGAAAGCTACGTTCATTTTATTCCTAGATGGTCCCGAGTGAATGAAAATTTGTTTGCAACCACTGGCTATCCAGGAAAGACAACTACTCAACTCCTGGTTCATCATTTAGGACATCCCCAGGTAAATTTTTGCATTCAGCTATTTGGATGGAGTTGCATCTGTTCACTTTAAATCAAGCTGGTAAATAGTTACAAGGTACAAATAAAAATTAGACAAAGCTATCTAGAAATGCTGCTCGGTTTAATTGTTTTGTTTTCTCATCCGTGCTGACAGGGGAAAAAAAACACTGCATTTAACCTGTTGTTTAATACATTTTTGATATTGCTAATTCTAGAGAGACTAAATCAGCTGGTCTTGCATTTTGCAGGTTCGAATTAAGAATATTTTAAATTGTTAATGAAAATATATCCAAAGACAATGCATGTAAAGCATAGGAAGTATTTTGTTGTCGCTGAAGTCAGTCAGCATGCATCTGTAAAGATCACAATAAAAATATCTCAAAAAATAGTAGTTGTGAGTAACCATAACAGGAAGTAATTTCATTTGAAATAATGATGATAATTGAAATTTTTTTTATTATGGAACATTTTGGTGCATCTTATTAAATATGTAGCAAGTAGCTGCTGAAAGTAGGTAGCAGATGATCAGATTTTTCAGCTTGATTCCTGTTGTATTTTAACCGTATTTGTTAAGGGGTATTAAATCTATGGGGTTTATTTGTTTATGCAACTTGGTATATGTGGTATAGTAATTATTTATATGGTAAATTTTATTTATATTTCTCTCTCTGTTCTGTCTCTCTTTTAAGCCCATTCTTATTGGCACTGCAGCTGTAGGATCTGGTTTGACATGGCACAGAACTCTTCCATTATGTGCAGTTGGAGGAGATCATAAAATTTTCTTTTGGGTGACTGAAATGTAAAATAAACATTTGTTTTGATTATTAAACTTTACACCATAATGTCCTTTCTGCAGTAAAACATAAAGGAATTTACTCTTTGTACTGATATTTATTCACCAAGAGAACAAAAGAACGAAAAGTACAAAAACTTTTGTGTTTGATTTTTAGGTTGTGAATATAACAGTTCATAAAATCAGATATCATGCACCTGGTACTTGCTTATTCTTCCTTAAAATAAAATGTACAAAGCTTTTTTTTTTTAACATTGTGTTTGGCATGAAATGAATTTTTAAGAGGGGTTTTGGTGGTGTTTGGGGGGGGTGTTTGTTTTTTTTTTCTTCTTAGGAGATTATGTATCTGGCCATCTGAGTTTATTCTGCTAAAGCTCATTTAACACAGCTCAAATTTGAAATTGTCCATATAGTACCTACAGCCAGCATGCCTGCCTCTGTCAAACTTTCCTGGCCATCACCATCTTATAACAAAGAAATGCAGTAGTCTCCTATCATAAAATGTTGTCTGTGAGTCTGTTTGCTGAATTAAAATAGCTCTCGCTAAAAGTGAAGTACCTAATGGTGTTAGTAATCAGAATGATAATTTTAAGCAGTGTTATTTCTCTTGTGATGCCAGAAGACCTCCCTTCAAGTATACCAAACAGCTTATGGGTGTTTTTCTTTTTTCAGCCCTTTTGTTTCCAGCCTTTTACAGGGAAATTCAAAGATAGTCAGCTTTCTGGAAGCATATTTTTTTGTCCCTCCAGTATGAGACCCAGAAATGAAATAAGAGGGCAGAGTAAAAGGCAAACAACTCCTGTCTTCAGTATTCTTTTTGCACGCTTTCACAAGTGAAGTGAAATCAAGATCTTCAACTAGTTGAACAGCTCCTTTCAACATCACATCCATCCTTATTAGCAGCAGATATATTTTAAAATACCCTTTAGTTTGTCCTCATTTACGCTGAACACACAAAACCAATTCAGAATCAGGACAGCAAAAAGTAAGACTACAGTCACTCAAAAAGTAAGACATTTTTGAAATTTTGCTTTTGGACTCCCACCAAAATATACCTAAAAGATGAATATAAAGTTCCTCTTAGATTATTTTTTCAGCCTTGTCTCTGGAGTCTCATCCTTTGTAGGAGAGACAACTTAACTCCCTGGAGGTTCTGTTTATTTCATTCACAAAGATGTTCTACTGAGTGTTCACTTTAAAAAATCAAATTTATATAGTAGTCGTCTGACTCTTCTTTTTCCAGTATCAAGGTAAAATACTTTTTGGAAAAATTCTATACTAATTCAATTGATATTGCTACAAACCTGGAAGATCTTTTTAGCCTTAGGACTGTCATATGTACTTCAAATTGAATTTGTCCTCTCCTTAACAGGAAAGGTATTTTATGTGTTATTTTTCTTCTACATTAAAATTCTTACTATTCTTGTTTAATATATTGCCACAAAAACAAAACATCTGTAATAATAATAAATATGCAGTAATTAGATAGATCAAGAGTTTTCACTTATGTAGCCAACAGTTTCATAAACTCTGATGTAATCAATGAGGCAATTCTATTTTGAGGACCTTTTCTACTTTCCTCAGTGGGGTTACAATCTGCTGTAGCTTGATATCTAGTTATACTTAGTAAGGAAACAAAACCTGGAGTTATCACGGAATTTCCTTCTGCTAATTTCAGAGGAGAATAACTCTGCATCCCAAACTAAAGCAATTTGTATAGACAGAAATTGGAGGAGTCCAAAATGCTGAAATCTGCTCACATTGGTAGTCTTTCAATAACAGAGGTTATTATTAAAACAATGTTTGAGATCTTGTACAGAAAGCAAAGAAATTATTAAATCCAACAGCTGGATGCCACAAAGACAGGGTAAATAGAGTTGGTGTAAAAGTATCCAGTAGACTTGATTGAGGATAAATATTTTGGTATTACAGTAGTGTCCAGTCAGAATCAAGTGCATGAAACCTTTTGATCCCCTTTTTTTCCCTAAAGCATTCACTCACCCACACACACACAGTGCAACCCAAACACAGTTATTAATAAAACAAATATTCAGATACCCACAATGGTTTTGTAAGGTTATCCCAGCTAGTTATTAAAAAAATGCAGAACAAGCGAAGTAGCATACAAAATTTGATAAAAGTGCAAATGGGTCTCAGAAGTGAATGACTACTTAGCATGCAATCAAGAATTTTATTTGTAACGGCAGTATTCTCGCTGCCTTTGCTAAAGCATATTCCATGGACAATACAGACTTGGTCATACAAGATCAGACTGAGCAGCTTGCATTTGTCTGTTCCGCTTCCATGAGCATCTCATCACCTGTATTATGTTGGAGTTGTCCCTTGACTGCTGGATTTAGCACGTACTAGTTTGCGGGAGACTGCGCTTACAAGCACTGGTACTACAGCAAAAGCTAAGAGCTGCATGTTCTCAAATAGTGTCATCATGCCTTTGGTATCATCTTCTTAATTCACCTCTGATCATGTTCCAGCGTAACTAAAGCATCTCTCCAGCTGACCTCTCTCCCCATCTTCTGCTTTTCCTTCTATCTCTGTCCACTTAGTCATTAATTTTGAGCCAAAATACCACCCTGCAGTTCATCTGAACTTCTTCCTTACCTGTGTGTGTCTTTTCCCCTGAGGCTTCTGGGGGGATGTCTTCCTCCCTCGCAACTGAAAGGGCTTTTGAAGTGAAAGAAGCAACATGTTATTTTTTTGATCGTGGAAAGAGATGCAAAAATATGCCTCCTTTGATGTTCATGACAAAACTGCATGTGAATAGTTTCATCATCTCAAAATGCTTTCATTCAGTCTGTTTACTGGTCTATTTCAGAAGTCTCTGAACTTTTTGTTGGCCAAAATGCATATCCTGATACAAAGACTGCATTCCAAAAGCATCACAGAGTACTAAATTGTAAACTGGAAGAGGTGGTAATCCCTGTAAAACTCTAATTGCAAAATTTTTAAATTACTTTAAGGCAGAAAGCCTTCGTCTGGTGGTTTTAGTATGTTTCCCGTGTTCTTCCCTACAGAACAAAATAATTAGATAATCCTCTGACGTTTCTTTAGCACAGTCCTTGGAAAAATGAAAATCAGAGAGCCATTTTCAGAGAACTACAAACCGTTTACCATTTAATTATCAACTGTATATCTTTAAATCAACCTATATGATACCTGAAATTTGCTTTTGTCAGTCTGCTTAACTGTCAAGGACTGATAGTTCTCTGAACCTTCTGTTTGCTAACTTTGTGCATATTCTGGCATACCTAAATAACTGAGATAGACTTTTTTTTTCTTTTGTTTTAGCTGGGGGGAAAATCATTGAGGCAGTATCAATTTTATATGGAAAGCTTTGCCAGAATTCCCTCTCTAAGTATGTATGTTGAGGACTCCATGGGAAATCAAGAAAATGTTAATCCACACTCAGGCCTTTTCAGCTGTTCATTGGACCACCTTAGTAAAAACAACTGTTGCCCCTATGGAGGATCAGGTGACACCATGTCTGGAAATTGTTTTGGATAAGCTTTTTGTTTCTGTTTAACTTACCTCTCAATTGTATAGCTGTTTCTGAGTTCTGTGCTGATTCTAACAGAATATTGTGCCTTGGGACCTGTAACAATATATAGGCCAATAAAATGCATATGAACATTTTAAGTTACAGTAGCACTTGCCAGTTTTTTCAGCTTGTGCAGTTTTGTTTTGCAATTGACTAGCAGCTGATTTTGTGCAGTATAAAAATATATGTAGCAGATCAGTTTCAGTGCTTTGAAACCTATGCTGTTTCCCTTCCTCTGCAGTGCATGCTAAACACTAGACATTGACAGTATTTTTTTTACTAGTGATGGAGACAAAGCTTTGATCAGTTTTCTGTACACATAGCTTTTGCACTCCAAGTTAGCCTAAGCATCTCTAAGATTAACATCTTGCCAATACTAATATTCAACTGAAATTTATTTTGATAACTGTTGAACAGTCTTTAATCTTGGCTTTGCTGAAAGGTGGAGCTACATAACTGAGTCTTTACATGCCTACATATATATGTACACATGCATAGGATATAAGCTGCTTTCAGTTACATACTGTACAGTATTTATTCCTTAAATGTGATATTTATCATCCAGTATGGGTGCTGGTACAGAAATTCATTTTCAAATCGTACACAGTGTAAATTTGGATATTATCCCTGAATTATTTTGTATAAATCCTCCCGCTGGGATTCAGACATTAATAGTTCCAGTTTAACTAGCTCGATTAAAACATTTTAAAGAGGTTTTGGAAAAATTTGGATCATTTGCCTCCACTCTGTTTGTGTTTTTCACTTTTCATACCCTGCATTTTGTAGTTCCAGCTGGGAGAAAAAGTGCTGTGTTACAGCTTTCTGCGCAGTATTTTTGGCCAAATCAAAAGAAGGAAGTACCAGAAAGTTCACAGACGAGCCGATTCTTGTCAGACTTCTTGTCCAATTTTACAGATCAAATGATTCAGCTAAGATTTGGCTAAGCATCTATATTATAAAATTTCTTTAGCAATGCCTGGAAAACTTACATTATGGGCATTTTTTGGTAAATGAGATTCATTCTTCTTGCATACAACTTGTCCTTTAAGATAATTAAGATGGCAAGATAATTCACTTAGATATTTTAAACAAACAGTTCCTTCCCCCAAAAATAATTTGCAGAATTGCCATAGGCTAGATTAAACCTATTGAATTTGTAGGCTAACCCCCTCCTTCCTTTGAGAGATGTGAGAAATTGCCAAGTATATGTCACTGGGCCAAAACACCGTACAAAACCCAGGTTGTTCAATAATTCAAACAGTATGGACAAAAAGGACTTTGCTATGTAGTATTTTAGCTGAAAGAATAAGAGGGATATGAGTATGACGAAAGATAAGTTAAAGAAACCACTAAATACGAAATCAAAGAAAAGCAGCTTCAGCACATAAATGAATATTTTACCTAATTTCGGAGCAACAGAGGTAGGTACTCCAGTTCTATTCCAGTCCTCATAGATCCTGGAAATGGGATTGCTTAGTGAAACAAAATAATTTGGAAGTAAACTGAGAATTTAAAATTTTAATTAAAATTAGCATAGCACTTTAGGGATATAATCTTCACTTTAGGGATATAATCTTAATAGTATTAAAGTAATTAGCACCTTTTGGTTCATCTCATCACATGAGAAGCTTCCTACTGACAGCCTCAGACTATGGTAGATTCTTAACTGCTCTAAATTTAGATAGTTTTATTGGATTTATGAGTATTTAGAGGTAGCCATGAGGTGTTTTCATCAGGCACTTACTCCACTACACTCTATTTGGATACACTGCTGTTACAAACAACCTGGAACCCCAAATTGCTCTGATTTGTCTTGTCTTCCAGTAATACACAAACCTAGAATATAAATGAATTAAAGTTTTAATTAAAAAGGTTGAGCTGTTTGTTATATCATTGGAACAAAAGATTACCAACAACCTCATTCCAGGATCTTTAGTTGCTTAGCTTGGATTCTCCAAAGCACAGCCCAGGTGTCAGGACTGAGAATTCTGTGCTCACAATGAACACTCCAAAGGTTAGCCTCTTTTCTGAACTAATTATTTTTGTCAAATCTGTGAATAAACTCTGAGAGTTAATGACAGTTTTCACAGAAGGAACAAATGCAATCTGCATGTACTGCTGGAGCTGGGGCTTACTTAAAACTGCTAGTGTGCCTGATGCTCTCTTTGGAGCTATGTGTTAGGAGATTTAAAGGTAGTTTCTCATCCTTCATTCATACTTAATCAGCCACAGGATTGGATGCATGATCTATCTGTAATTGCCATTCCTGGCTCTTTTAGAGGCAATGTCCTAAAATGTGTAATGACTTGTTCTTCTTTGAGCCTAACCAGCTGGCTGGTTGATCAGTCCCAAAGAATACAGACAGTATAGCTCACAGAAGACCTGTTGACGATGTGGAAACCAATTATTTAATACAAGATAGGGTTCAAACACTCTCTGTTCATTTCACAATCTCTTGTATATAACTGTGTATAAATGTATATACCACATTCAAAATCTTATGAGCACAGATGGCAGATGCGGTTAACAGGGCCAGAAGATCAGCTCTCCTTCCTAAGCTTTTACTGTGACTATCAGAGTTTCAGCCAGCAAAATAGCTATCTCAATCACCGTGCACAGTTCATTATATATTTTTAAAGTTACACATCAGATGCGCATCCAGCAAATAAGTGTTTCTTTCTATTGCTGTTCTCCTGAAACGCCAAGGGCGAAGTTGCATGAGATGGCAGAATTATCTGCATTTTGCTACCACTCCCTGAAAGGAAAGGTCTCGTTTTCTTTTAACACTGCCCCTCCCTTATACACAGACTCTGGTGTTCAATGCACACTTCAGCTGATTTGATTCAGCTCATTACCCAAAGAGGAAAAACTCCCTCCTCTAAGGTTAGTTGTCTGCCAGGATGGCAATTTGAATTGCCTCAAGGATGGGTTCACCGAGAACAAGTGATAAACTGAGTTCACCAGCTGGTGGTGAAGGGTGAGAGGGAGGTGGAAAAGCCTTTCGACGAAGCAAGCTATTGGAGTGGTCCATACCGTCTTCATTTTGGGACCCCACACCTAAATGGTTTGATTAGTGCTCTGAAATTAGCCACAGCGGAAAATAACATGAGCAACTTCTCAGAGATAAAAAAAAAAAAAGAGGTTGGTTGTTTTACAGTTAGGGAATTATTCCGGATGAACACTTGGAAACCTACTGACCATTCCCTTTTTCCTTAGAGTCTGATACCCCTAAGTTTCTTTGGCCGAGAGAAACAGAGTAGACCTTCTTATAACCTAAACATGAGAGCAAATAGAAAGCAGTGGTAGGTATTGCTGAACAAAAGAAAACATCACCATAGGTCAGCACAGGAGGCACATATACAGCAAGGGCATCTTTGGAAAATACCAACATTACTGTATGGTGAAGAACTTCAATGAATAACCTGCTTCATTGTCACTAAATACTGGTATTACTTTTCTGCTCAAGCTGACTGTGATCCCCTATTGTTTTAATGATACGAATTTTCTATTATGTCTTTATTCTCATATCATGTGTTAACTATTTAAACACTCTCCTATCCATTGTTACCCTATGATCAGAGGAAACCCCATCTTTCACCTTGTCTGGGTTTACTGGTGAGCTGTACCACCAGTACACCAGTTATTGCAAAATCATCAAAGTGAACATTCAGCCGAGCTTAATTCTTATAAATCTTCTCATGTTAAATATCCTGTCAAAACCAAACAAATAAAAGGCAGAAGTGAGAGATACTGCTATTTAAGAGACTTGTTCAAGCGAAAAGTTACTTGTTTAGTAAAGGCCTGTTACAGTCAGCTTTCCAAACACATTTCATGAATGTTTTCAACATATCTTTATTAAAAATGATTTTTTTATATTTATTTTTATATTATCCTTTTTATATTACAGACGTATTTTTTAAGTTTTGAATATATCCATGAGATACGCAGTACAATCCTGGAAAACCCTAAGGAAAAGCACTGATAAAATCTGAATGAAACTATCAGTTTATAAAATACGATTACAGAGATGATAGTGGCAGAGCACTAAGCAGCATTAACTGAAACACTAACGTTAAGACAGGCCGCAGCTAAGGTTCCCCGTACTCCCTTAGCTCCTTTTGCAGTAAGGTACAGAAATCTTTCGTAACTTGATTGCCCAGGCTCATTCACTGCTCGTGACTTTTATCCGACCCTCCATCATCCAAAAAACGCCCCAAAAAATAAAAAAAAAATCAGTTTCCTTGCGGATATTTCTCCTTATTTGGCTGCCTGACGGCTGGGGAAGACCTTTCCCCTCCACAGCCCGTTATCCAAGGCCTTGTTTTCAGACAGGTCGGTGCGGCAGCGTGAGCCCCGGCCGCAACGGGGGCCTTTTGCCAAACGCACTAGAAGAACAAGGGCGAAGGCAGCACCGCGGTGCTTCAGCAGCCGCCCTTACAAAGACGCGGAAGGAGGCCGGTAGAG